GTATAAGGCAGTATACCAGAGGTAAATATGATGTATTTTTTGAACAATAAAATTCTTTTTAATAATGATACTTAAAAATTTATTAATGAATTTGTATAAGTAAAATTACCTTCATTTCAAATCACCAAGAGCACAACCTAAGCTATTGGCTAAACCATAATTTAGGCTTCGTATTTCTGATGTCATTTGCATTGTGATTGTTAATTTGTTAATTGCATATCCATAAGATTGAACTGTTTGCGTGGAAGAATCACCACCCATTTCTCTAATTGTCCCAAATAAACCCTCGAGCATATCTTGTAACACTCTTCTTGGTTGAATTGTAACACCCGGCCAATTGGTAAGTACATATTCTACAATTCCAATAAATCTGTTGATTGATAAAATCAAATCAAACTAGCACTGGGCAGAAAACCAATGACTAGGATTTTTTTTTTGTTTGTCACCTTGAATAAACCATTGTTTTATTTCTTTCAAAGTGCTTAAGCGTGGATCTTTAAGAGAAGAAATGCATATTCGACTATGCATAATGTTCTGATACATACGTGCATAGCGAATAAATAACTAATGATAATATAAAGATATGAGAACCATTATTATAGCTTAAAGCAAAGAATATATATATATATAGTTTAACTTTGAAATATTTACCTGAGTGCCTTGAGAAATGTAACTTAACTCTGGAATATTTGCCATCGCTTTTTCAACATCAAGTGATAATGTATGCTCCACAAGGTCTACTCTCATTTTGCTCCAAGTGGTAAGCCAAATATATCGCTTTGTCAACTTGGTAGCTTTTGCAGTCATATGTTTTGTTGTATGATCGTATACACCACGGAAATGCCGCCAACTAATTTCCCACCCATTAAACATTATTTCTCTTATATTCTTGTTCTCATCATTGCTAATATGACTTTTAGAAACATTATTTCTTAACTTCTTGAAGACATGGGTTGAATCATTTAAAAAAAATCATGGTTTGCCGGTTACAGGATTAATTGTACGATGTGATGCCCAATGTTCATTTTCATTATATACAAGGCGAATATCACAATATAGTGATTTCCATATAAAAAATTCAAATTTTCTATTACTCTCAATTATAACTTTGATGTTCAGATAATTATCCGTCGAGATTTCAGTAAGTACTTTACCAAGATACCATTCATTGTCAATTGTACTTCAGACTTCATATTGATCATTAATTTTTCAAATAATTTTGCCTGGCATTGGGGTCATAAAAACGAACGTGAAATATTATAATAAGCTTGTGTAGAGCCTAAAAGTTGAATTAAAAATTTGGTATATTCTGAGTTAAAAGAAATTATTTTAGCCGGTTGATAACTCTTTTTTCCTAGTTTATTCGACAACTAAACTTCAACTTTGTCATTTGCTTTCCAAATTGTTGCAAACCAATCGAAGCTCTTGATATGCCTCCTATTTTTACCTGCACCATCGCAAATAGAACCATATGTATGAATTGTCGTATATTCAAGCTTTGCGACTAAGTAGAAAAGTGTCATATTAAGAGTATAGGCATTTATCATTTCAATACCAAAATAAGCTATTGGAAAGTTAAATGGATGTGATATTGAATGCCATACAATTTGATATACTTGAATTGCTAAAGTCTGTTTATACTTCTTTTCATCATTGTTATTACGCTTATTATGATCGCTCATATACTCTGAACCCTGAACATCATGGAGACACTGCTCGCCAAATGCTTCAAACTCAACATTTTCATCATCAAAGTCAATATAACCGACATATTTATTGTCGTGTTGGCTCCATAAAAGTCCTATAATATCATTGATGATAATTATAATACAGCTTATAAATAA